GCAACTTCGAGATATTTTTATCTAGAATAACTTTGGAAGATGCCCTTTTAGATGAGAAGTCGATGAAAAGCTTCTCAACACAAAGTATTTTAAAAGATCTGAATAAGTTATGAATAATAGAATTCACGTATATGATTAAATAATAATTTTAAATTTTTATAGATACAGCCAAAATATTATAATTTGAATAAAATTTTGAAAAAAAAAACTATTTTACAGTACTATACTTCTTTTTAATTTTAAACTTGGTACATGAGTTTTTTTTTCCTTAACTAAATAATTTAATTTTACGCTGTTCACACTATTAGCCATGGGTAAGTGAGCAAAATTAAATGATTCAATATGAAAAAAATAGATACCAAAGTAAAAGTTAAAAGAAAATATAGGTATTTGTACAATGGTTTTTCGTAAAAGTTTTGGGATGGAAAAATTGAATATTTTTTTTTCCTTATGGTAGGCGCAAATTGACCTAACATTAAAAGGGGAATTAAAAATTAAAACGTCAAAATCAGAAGACAAATTGGGCAATTGGGAGATTATATAAAGTCAAATCCACATCGATGGGGAAATGGCCCCTCCCCTCTGAAAAACATGCTAGACGGAGACAGATATAAGAGCCACCTAGCCTCTCCGCCTTCTTCTTTTCTTTTATTATTTCTTTTTTTATCCTGTCACTTCACATGGATCCATCTGAGTTTTGATTTCTTATGCAGCTGTTGTGACCTCCAATATGTGGTTTTGTTTCAGGAGACTACAGCCAAAAAGTGAAATTAGAAAAAAAAAAAAAAGAGCAGAGGAAATGAAAAATATTGCACATAGGCAAATTCGTATTATTTTAAAAAGGTTAAAATGCTTAAATTTAAAATGGAGAATATTGTTAAAAATCTCAATTGCAAAATTTATTGCTAAAAAATATCTAAAATCTGTTTCAAGAACCAACTGTAGTGCAGCCTATTTTTAACAAGTATACTGATTTTAACTATATGTAAAACAGAAGACATTTGTATATAATGAAAAAAGGTTAATTAAGCAATTTTCTGAATTAACTAGAAATGAGAAATGATGCAAGTCTAAACGCATAAGAAACGCGTAATGGAGAATTACCTACTACACTGGCTAAGCACGAGACAACACTCAACGTCTCATTCTTCCCATCTTCCAATCAACTTTTATAATGACATAATTTTGTCAACCATTCATTTATTAGTGCTGCTCATTTCACAGCTCATTTTGTTTTGTTTTTTTTTAATATTAAATTAATTAGCCAAAATTTAAAGCATATGGTAGTCACGACCAAACACTAATTCTTATATATTTTGTATCAATAAAACATAAACATATTTATCAATGCTGTATAATCATAAAATCATAAATAAATGTTATGCTAAACTTTTTAACACAACATGTATGTGGGCAAAAAATAATAATAATAATGAAACAACATGTAATATGAAATAATTTTTTTAGAGCACTTATATTTTGAGCGGGGAGAATGAGAAGGAAGACCTCTCAAATATGCATATTATAGGTTATGATCCTGAAATGGGGGCTTAATTTCTCTAAAGTGTTTAAGAACTTCATTAACATTAATTTTTATTGTGAAATGATTATCTTGTTGGAAAATGCCAAACAAATATCTTTGAATTTCAAAATTTTAAATCTTTACTGTGCTTCAATAATAATTAATGATATTTAGAAAACAAATGACAATATATTTTTATAATTTTTTTATTGGGATTTTCAAATTTTAAAGATATTTTCTTAAGCTTCTCCCTATCTTGTTCATAATTAATCATTAAAAAAAAAATTCCACTGCCAATAGCCATGGTCGAAGGTCCAGTATCAAAAAAGAAATGATCTATAAATTAATGACCACTTAAAAAAACAATTTTAATTATATAAAATGATAATAAAATTTTAGATGAAAATAACTACTATTTATAGAAGAATGAAACAATTAAAATTGTTATTTCAAAAAAAATAAGCCATTTCATGATCCCACTTTTGAGAGGACTTTAGTGTCTGTTTGGGAGGGCTTAGTTGTGATTCTCTCTTCTTGTCACTTGTAAATGTAAATGTAAATGTAAATGAAATTATAATAAATGATATGATTAGATATCAAACTCAAATAAATAAATAAATAAATGAAGAGGGTTTATTTTTTTTTTTTGATCTGAAATGAAGAGGGTTTATGAAACATAGGCAATAATGATGATGATATGGTGGGAGTGACGAAGGGGCAAGGAAAGTATGAATGATTACACAACTCAGAAGGGCCGCATTTACAGGCATGCTAAACAGCATTGGTCACCCATGAAGCAAAGCACAATTATATAAAAAACATTTATATTATTTATGAAATAATTTCATTTCAATTTAATTGAGGAGATGCATTAAAAAAGGTAAAATCTATCTATTAACATAAAAAAAAAAGGCAAATCTACCCATATAAAAACATTTATATTATTTATGAAATAATTTCATTTCAATTTAATTGAAGAGATGTATAAAAATGTTAAAATCTGCCTTCTACTATTAACATATGAAAACTAATCTACCCATGTAATTAATACAGATAAAATTGTCACAAGGCCGCCATTCAGATTGCTGGCTAGACCAATAAAAAAAATTAGGATGAGTTTTTCATGTCATTAATATGCTAAATGATAATATTTTATTTAATGTAGCTTTTAATACACTTTAAAAGTTATGTTTTAAATATTTTAAAATCTGATTGGTACCTTTTTTTTTTTTGATGAAACGGATTGATAGTTTCCATGTATGATGTAAATTGTTAATTGATACAGTGTATATTAAATTAGATATAAAACTCTACATTTCCACTCTCTTATGAAATCTGAAAAAATTTCCATGATTGGAGTTACTGAGTTCAGTTTTTATTTTATGGATGAAAGCAAACTCATTTTAGATAATTATGTGTTACTTAGTAGATTTGAAGGGTTGAATTTTTATATATTAAATAATAAATATTATTCTTATTCTTAGAATTTTTAAACTATCTAGGCAAAACTAATTATATTTACTCAAAATAATTTTAATTTTGTGTTTTGAATTGAAAAAATTTAATCAATGTCTATGTCTAGGAGAGGCTAGTTAGTTGCTACAAATTTTTTTAAAAAATTACTAAAATCGTCAAGTTAATATTTAAAAAAAAAAATAGTAGCAACTAACTAGCCTCTACTAGACATAACGAGTTAATAATTTTTTAAATGATATAGAATTTGATGATAATTAATCCATTTATTAATGAAATAAAATCTATATAAAATTGAATTATTCATACATAAAATTATATTGACACAAGGGCAGCTTTCATTCTCAAACTTCAAAACAACATAGTTAGTTTTATTTAAAAAAACATTATATTAAAATTTTAAAGAAACAATAATTAATTTTAAAAATTATCATTTAAGTTTAACAATATTAATGCTACATGTACAAAAAATATTTTATAAAATTACGGAAAAAAGACTAAATTATATTTTTGCCAAGTATGTTATTGAGAAGTAGTTTATGATTGCTCATCTCATATTACGGGAATCCAGCCTATAATCCAGTCATAAAATAACCAGCCAGATAAATATACCTTCCAAAGATATTTTAATTTCGTAAATTTAATTTCCTAACGCTCATTTAATTTTCACCAAAAATAATATACGCGAGGGGATAGAAAAAGAGTACTTTGTCAGTTGTCAGGTTGTCTTTTAGTATAGTTTAATAAGGCTCACCAAAAGCTCACCAATTCGCTTTTTCTTCTCCAACGCACAAACCAAAGCACTGAACGAACCCTACGGAGTCCACATGAGGTGCTCATCAAATCTATGAGCACCCCATGCTCAGTGCCCCAAACGACTTCGTTTTTGTATAGGTGGGAGGCAGCTTCAATTAATTTTTGAAAGAATTACAACCAAGTCTCGTACAAGAGAAAAAACTACTAAAAAACTCAATGACAATCTGAGCAGTCTGTAATGACAAGTTCAAGTTTTAAAACGGAGAATAACAACTTCTGAAACTTATTTTATAATTTTTTTATATGGGATCTCATTGTAATTCTCTTTTAATTTTTTTTTGGGCTCCACGTGATGCTTCCATCGGTCCATCTCCCTCTCCTTTTTTATTAGGTTAGCCACACTTTTTTTAGAAAAAAAAGTCACTTGATTTTTATTTTAGCATTTTTTAATTAACACACATATATATTATACGTATTTTAAAATTATATTTAAAGTAAAATTAGGCTTCCTACAATACTTCACAAAAAAAATTATAGTGACACAATATGATTGCCCATAATTTTTACAGGGATTAAAACACACATAGCATTTTGAAATATCTTTTAAATAATTAAAAACACACCTAACATTCTCAAGTGTTTTCTAAGTAGTGTTTGATATATTAAATTAATTTGTGGTTCATCCAAAAAATCAAAGTATTTTTCAGTATTTAAAAGATATTTTAAGATGTTGGATGTATTTTGACTCCTTTAAAAATTATGAATAATCAAATGTATAGGAGCCTACTTTTAGTTTAAATATAACTCTAAAATATATATTACCTCCTATCTTTAATATAAGAGCTAGATAATTAACTTGGAGATATTAAAAAATTAATACAGTTATTTGTCACAAATATGTATTGATCTTTCTAAATTATTTTCAATTATGTGTATTGGATAATTAAAATTATCACTTGGTGAAAATTTTATACAGTCAATAAAAATATTTTAAAAAAAGATATAAGATAAAATGGATCGAGATTTTATATTTAAAATTAAATTTAAATCTTAACTAATTTTTTTTATTAACAATACGAGATAGTAGCATATATTTGTGTTAGCAAAGCAGCCCGATGAAAAAAAGAGACAGACGGAGAGATGGAAGCATCACGTGAAGCGGAGAAAAAATTAATTGAAGCTGCCTCCCAGCTACACAAAAACGAAGTCGTTTGGGCGCTGAGCATGAGGTGCTCATAGATTCGATGAGCACCTCATGCGGACTCGATCTGGAATCCTTTCTGCTGTTATCTCCACACAGACACTCCAACATTACCTATTTCTCATTCTCTCTTTGTTTTCGCTCATCTCTTTCGTTTCTTCTGCCTATCGATCACCCATGAACATCCCTCTCTCTTGACAAAATCTCACTTCCCAAATCGCCTCGCCATGCTCTCCCGGAAATTATCCGCCTCGCCGTCGTCCCCGGTTGTTTCTGACCCATACCCACCTCCTCTTTCTCAGAATCAGCCGCATCCCTCTTCCAAGTACCACAAAAGCCACCATCTTTTGCCTCCGCTTGTCGCTTCCGCCGCCTCTGTGTGCTCCTTCTTCCTTCTCTTTTTCCTCTGTTTTCGCAGACTCGCGAGAAAACGCACAACCCCTTCTTCTGATTCTGAGTCTAAGCCTCCTTATCGTTTCTCGTATTCCCTCCTCCGCCGTGCCACGTCATCCTTCTCCACCCGCCTCGGCCAAGGCGGCTTCGGCCCCGTCTACTCCGGTACTCTGCCTCCGACCCGACAACCCATCGCCGTCAAGCTCATGGACTCTGCTTCTCTCCAGGGTGAGCGCGAGTTTCACAACGAGCTTTTCTTCGCCTCTAGGCTTCACTCTCAGCACGTGGTTTCCGCCATCGGCTTTTCCTCTGACAGAAATCGACGGAGGTTTTTGCTTGTCTATGAGTTGATGCATAATGGGAATCTCCAAGACGCGCTCTTGCACCGCAAGTGCCCTGAGCTGTTGGATTGGAAGAAGCGGTTTTCCGTCATCGTCGACATAGCCAAAGGGATTCAGTATCTTCACTCTTGCGACCCACCCGTGATTCACGGCGATATAAAGCCCAGTAATATTCTCTTAGACCGTTCTTTAACTGCAAAAATTGGGGATTTCGGACTTGCACGGTTGAAATCGGAACCCCAGATTGAAAATGGGATTCTGAACTTAGACGGTATTGAAAAGAAGAATGGTGGATTGGAGTTAGAAGAGGAGAAGAAGGGTAAGGAAGAAGAATTAGAGAGTAATGGTGGGTCATTGATTGAAGAAACACAGAGCGTCAATACCGTTGACGAAGATAGCTTAGCTGCGGATCAATCTCCGGAGGGTTTTGTCAGGATACCCATATCTTGCGATCCAACCGTGATTCACGGCGATATAAAGCCCAGTTCTTTAACGGCGAAAATTGGCGATTTCGGGCTTGCACGGTTGAAATCGGAACCCCAGATTGAAATTGGGATTTTGAACTTAGATGGTATTGAAAAGAAGAATGATGGGTTGGAGTTAGAAGACGAGAAGGGTAAAGAAGAAGAATTAGAGAGTAATGGTGGGTCATTGATTGAAGATACACAGAGCGTCAATACCGTTGACGAAGGTAGCGTAGCTGCGGATCAATCTCCGGAGGGTTTTGTCAGGATACCCATATCGGAGCCGTCCCCGCCTCCAATGGAGGTGGCGACGGGAGCGTCACCTTCGGAGGCGAATTTCGACAAAGTAAGCGTTCAGAGCGAGATAAACATTTCCTTGAGTTCTAAGAAAAGCGGAAAAGTCTTAAAGAGCAATTCCATGAAGGATTGGTGGTGGAAACAAGACGTGGAAGAAGCAGCCTCCCCCATGGGTGAGCATAAGAAAGTGAAGGATTATGTAATGGAGTGGCTTGGAAGAGAAATAAGCAAAGAAAGACCCAAGAGCGAATGGGTTGCGGCAGAGGTGGCAGCAGCAGCTACCTCCAGTAGTGGAGCAACAATGGAGAAAACAGAGAAAAAGAAGAGCAAGAGGCGCTTGGAATGGTGGAGATCAATGGACAAGGAAGCCATTAATCCTAAAGCTCTGAAGAAGGAGAAGAGAAGACCAGCGAGAGAATGGTGGAAAGAAGAGTACTGTGAAGAGCTTGCAAAGAAAAAGAAGAAGAAGAAGAAGAAACAGCAGCAAAAGAGAAATGGAATAAACAGTGACGATGATTGGTGGGTAAGAGACGCCGAAGATTTATATGGAGAAAGGAAAAAGGCCAAAACCCGTAAAAACAGTCGTGGTAATTTAGATTCATGGTTAGATGGATTCAGCGGTGAGTTATTCAGAGCTCGAAGAAACAGCCATGATTCTGCAGCAAGCTGGGAAATTCCCAAGAATGGTGGTGTTAGTAGTACCCCAAGCATGAGAGGAACAGTTTGTTATGTTGCTCCTGAATATGGTTTTGGTGAAGATTTATCTGAGAAGTGTGATATATATAGTTTTGGGGTTCTATTACTTGTTATAGTTTCTGGACGACGTCCACTCCAAGTGACTGGTTCGCCATTATCGGAGTTTCATAAAGCAAATCTACTATCATGGGCACGCCATTGTGCACGCAATGGGAAGCTACTTGATCTGGTTGATCCGTCTATTAAGTCATTAGATAAGGATCAAGCTCTTCTCTGCATCACTATTGCTCTTCTTTGTTTGCTCAAGACACCTTCTCGTCGTCCTTCAATGAAAGAGGTTGTGGGAATGCTTAATGGTGAACTTGAGCCACCACAGTTACCAGTTGAGTTTTCACCATCGACCCCGTCTCGCTTCCGATCCCAGGCTCGCAGAAAGGGTCCCTAAGTTTATTCCTATTCTTTCACTTTTCTGGTATATACTGCTGATCTTAGCTTGCCGTTGACTGTTATATCTGTATAAAGAAGATGAATTTAGGGATGAAAAGCTACATTCTTACTGCTTTGCTTCGCACTTTCTTCTCCTTTTTGGGTTTTGGTTTGATACGTTATGGCCTACCATTCGGAGATTGATGTGTGTTCTCACTCACTCCCACGCCAATGGACAGAATCATAATGCTGACCCACTTGGAAATTTCTTAACCCACATAGACTTTTTGGGGCATGCCTTGAGTGATTTCTATGCTTGATGAGAAATTATGGCCCTTGCTTTTTGTGGTAGTGTGTCATTGTAATTGTCATCTTCTTACTTTCAGAAAATGAATTTGCAGCTTACCTTCATGGCCGTCCGTTCTGTGTGCAACTTTTGTGAATTGACTAATGGGAAAAGAAGAAAAGTGGTGTTCACACCCCTTGTAAATAAAGCATAATATATTGGAATTTAAACAGGAACATAAGATAATCTGTTTCAGATTCTGGTCATGGAAGATTTTGCAGAGTTCAAGGTTTACTGAATATGTGCCTTGTTACACAACAGCAATATTCTTGAACTATTTTTGAGATATACTGAGATTTTTGTGGCCTACCTAGCTATAGAAATTTTCGATGGTTTCCAATTAAATTAAGTTCTCACTTTAGCTGAAGTGATTTGCTTTTGTCTTGGATGATGATGATTCTTCCTAAAGCCTAAGATGGTGGAAAAGGGACGAAGAATTGTATAATATGGGAGACTAAACTGATGATTAATGATAATTTCACAACACTTTCGCTTTACGTCACCTGAGCCTGCATATGCAGTGTGTTGCTATAATGGAAAGCATAGCTTCAGGCACAAAAAAATAGAAGAAGGCATAGCTGATGTAAAAGCTGGATGATCCGGGCGTTAGTATCTTCACTTTTACTGATTAACATGCTTTTGCTGGTGTGCACTTGAATCTGGATTTAGAACAAAGATATACTCCTTAGATCTTAATATATGATCCAATTACTCAATTTAGAAGTTGATATTGATACTATATGTAATACATATTTTATATGTTTATCAATTTTTTTCTCAAATTAACCTTATTGATATTCTCCCAATAATGAAGGAAATTAAAAAAGATATTTAGGATATTTAAAAAAGAAACATATCATATTAACCAATTTAATTAACATCCTCAATATACTCACATTAGATAGTTAGGCTTTACATTAAGGACCCGAAGAATACCATTTAATTATCAGTTATGATCAATACAAAGTGTTTCATGCCTATATAAGATGATTCGGTTGGTAATACTTCTTTGACCTTATTTATAAGGTAGAGAGAGAAGGTATTTTTTTGGTTCTGTTTATAAAACACTGAGAAAATTTTTTTATATGGACATATAATTTTACCCATTATTTATTATTGTGTTAATTTTGTTTACATGAAGTATAATGTACATTAAATAGGAATAAAGTTGAAAAGTTATTGGATTGTAGATTAAAGTTAATGAAATTTAAGATTTTTTTTTTTATGTATGTGAAACATATTGAAAATGACTTAAAACTAGAAGTAGAAAAGTATTTAATAAAAACGTGGCTTTGAATCTTAAGACTTTTTTTTTTTTGGTTAGGTCACTTCGAAAAAATTGTGAAACATTGGAACATTTAAAACTGATGCAATGTTGTTTTTAACTGTCTTTGTTAAATCCACCATTAATGCAAGATTTTTCTTTAACTTAATAATAACATAATTTGGACTGTCATCAAGAAAAAAAATATTACATTGATTTTAAAAGGTTGTGTTAATAAACTGTTTAAAATATGGTTTAGAGTTCTTATAACCTTTTTGAAAATACTTTTGAGTAGAGGTGTTTATGAATAGAGTTGGGGCTGGGCAGGACATGACTCCTGCCCAATGTTCAGCCCAAAGAATAAGTAGGTTGTATTTTGCAGCCCTGTCTAATAAAAGTCATAACCACTTTGGTCAGAACAAGAGTGGGTTGGGCAGGGTAGGCTTTCTTACCCAAGTAATGACACCTTGCTCATAGTATGTAAAAAAAAAAAATCTAATTATATCTTATTAATACTATTGTGAATTCATACCTTAAAATATTTCAAAATAAGCCTACATTTTGAGTCTTAAAATTTGAAACATAATGTAAGCTAAAATTGGTACAGTGAAAATGTTTATTGCCTATACATTGAAGTTATCTGTGTGTTTACGATGAATCTACTTATATTGGCCAAATAAACTATAATATATAGATTACATTGCATTTAAAAATATATAATTAAAAACTACTAAAATTGTGGATTAAAAACTACTACTACCTCTGCTGCATATTAACTCCTAAGGCTTTGGTAAGAAAATAACAAAGATCTCGTTGTGATTATCCTTACCCACAGTTTGTGACTTATAGCCCCAGTGGTCTGGCCTCAAGGTTCAATCAATTTAGTTAAATTAATGAGTAAAAGTTGGATAATACACTCTCATAATTATTTGAAAAAAAAAGAGCTATTAATTCATTGAAGCGGTAGACAAATAAATGAACAATAATTGATATTATGGGAGAGTGCAAGCAACAAAAGGAGATGGTTGAAAATTAATATCACACTATATACTATTATTATAAGATATATAATTATATATTTTTTTAGGCGGAACCAAATAGACAGGACAATATACCCTGCCCGTGATAAGCCTGACCCGATTTTTTTTTTTTTTTTAATTAAGACGGGTTAGGCAATATTTTTGCAAGCTTGAGTGGGTATAGCGAGTACTCAGGTTTCATGAATACGTAAAAATAAACTTTAATCCTTCAAAAGAACGTCATGCTTGATTGCCTATTTCTTTAGAAGTAAATGGGGAGAATTTCAGTTAATCCCCTACATGTAACTTTATTTTAAATAGGAATCAAAAGATTTTAAAATTACATTGCTACTCCTCTTTATAAGATAGAAAAGAAGATTTTTTGGGGCCATATTTATACATCAAATTTTTAGTATAAATATGCTATTTTGTCCTTCATTTATTATAGTGTTGATATTTATTTTTTAAAAATATATATTAAATAATAATAAAGTTAAAAACTTGTTATATTTTAGTAGAGAATTAATACAATTTAAGATTTTTTTTTTATTTGTGTGAAACATACTGAAGATGTCTTATGAATATGATTAGAATAGTATATCAAAAGACCAAATTGAATACCTTTCCTTCGTTAGTCGTTAAAAATGTTTATATGTATTTATAAATTCATTTGTACACACTCAGTAAATTTTTGTATTAGGCAGTTGTTTTAAATTAGGACTTACAAGCTCTCATACAAATACTTGTTGCTTTACTATTGAGAGTTGTTAACATGCTTATCTACACTCATAAAAAACTGAAGGCATTTTGACCATTTACCATCAACATATAATTTCACTTTGGTGTTTTGGTACTGCAATATAATTTCATGATCTTTTGATCCTTATTTAAAAATAAAGTCTCATTATTGGGTAATTCTCCCAAATAACTTCCCTTCAGGCTTCGGGGTCCACTTTAGCTGAAGTCAATAGTAATCACTTTCCAAAACTTTTGTTACGAAAGCTTTGATCCCAGTGTAGGACAATTGAATGATGGAAACGTAACAAAATGAAAATCCTTGAAAGTCATTAACCTCAGCACCCTTTTTTAAACTGGGGACCAAAATTGACTTTGCGAATTCTACTATTTCAATGTTTGTATGTGAGGAAAAAGCAATTTTTTTTTTTTTTAACATAGAAGTCCAACATTTGACCGACACACATTGTTTTCTTCTGTCTTTAACATGGCCATGTTCACTTGTCTTTTCTTGCTTTATGGTTTCTAGTTAATAATTTGCTTTTTTTTCTTTTCACTTTTTCTCCATTATGTTCACGTGTAGTCATGCATCTATAATTATTTCACATCAATTATTTAACACTATTATTTCTTTGGATCGAAATAATAGCTACGTATGCTCCCCCCCCCCCCCAATGCATATTGTATTCAGTAGTGTTCTAGTTTTAAGGCACACTACTACTTTCAAAGCGGCAATTTATTGTCAGCACCTTTTTCTTAATTTTGAAATTTTATCCAGAAGATTAAGACTATACTTATTACAAGAGTTTTATATTTAGGACCGGATGAGTATATAGCAACAATTTGTTTGGAATTGTTAGGCTTATTCCTTTTTTTTTTTTTTTAAGGCATGGGTATCCTTCTATCAAAAGCAATCATGTTTGAAACATTATTAGGTACTAAATGTGAACATTTCTTTCAATAAAAATTTGAATTTTTTTTTGGTTATAGAATAAAAATTTGAATATTGATTCATTTACGAGGAATTAGTTTTTTTAACTAAACCAAAGCCTCATTGGATGGGCTTATTAATTAGGTGTGCCCGGGAAACCTGACTTCACAGTTCTCCCAAAAGCGAGCAGTGTCTGCTGAAAGGCCGTGCTTTAATCCGTCTTTGTGGTATTGGGCTCAGGCCCAATTCTAATTTGGTCCAAACGGGCATTTGTATATTAAAAAAAGTTTCATTTGTTTTATTTTCATGACATTTATGGTTTCATATTCAATATTTTTAGTAAAAGGTGAGAGAATAGTTTGCTCTGTGCTCACCTGTAAAATATGCTTTTCAAAAAAAAAAAAAAAGTAATACGCAAGTTGCTATAATTATCATCCAGGCATCTATGTACGTGCATTAAATTTTATTTAATATCATTTTCTTATTGAGTTAACATGGTTTTCTCAATTACAAGTATTAGTTTTTTTGCCAAAAAAATTATAGGTATTAGTTTATCATTATAATTGGTTACTTTCTTTTTTTTTTTTTTGAGCAAAAACAAGTCCATATTATTAATTTCTCAAAAAAAGGTTACACACACTAATAACCAGAAAGAAAGCAGAAAAGACAACACGCAGAAAGCAAGAAGAAAAACAAAAAGAAGCCTAGGGTACAACCTAAGTCAAGAAAAAAAGCACCCTATTAACCTATACCTTTCCTATCAGTCGAAGAAGAGCCAGTACTTTCCAGGTCCTGCAACAGAATTGACCTTAGAGAGGGTGGTGGAGTATCAATCCACCCTTGCGGTACCACACCCCTCATTGCCCAAGCTGCAATTCTATCAGCAGCATTATTGCCTTTACGAGAAACCAAAGACAAAACCCAGTTGCAGTCACCTCTTCCCAGCTCTAAGCACTTCATTAATAAATCTCCACACCTCCAGTCGCAGGTCAAAACCTCTCCATTATTCAGACATCTATACAATTCCAAACAATCAGTTTCTAAAATCACCTTGTCCCCGCCAAACAGATCTTTAATCCTGAATGCTTCCAACATGGCCCAACACTCAGCCATAAA